CCTTCATCAACTATGTGCATATTAGCAAAAGTCATAAAGATCAAATCAGATAATCCTCATCACATGTATAGCAAATTAAATACTTAATATGACTGATTTTACAAGAAGAATTCTGTGTTCACACAAAATAGTTTCTGCTGAAAGAAACGGCATTCTGATAGTTACGAGGGCTTCTGTTCCAATCCAGATGTCTCCAAACCTAGCAGAAGACTCCTATGAATAAACTCTAGATCAAAGCATTTTATCTTTGGTGGTAAAGGGACACACATTCTCTCTGTCCCTCTAAACATAAAGGTTATCCTTGTATCAACATCGCAGAATAACTTTATGCTGCTAAAATAACCCTGAAGCCATCATTCAGCAAAGTACCAACACAGTGTAAACTGAAGCCTCTGTCAGAACACTATTTTGAATCGTATTAGTTTTGTGTGCATTTCATGTAATAGCAGCATTGCTTTTATTGATGTGTTGCAATTTATTCTGTGAGCAATTTTTAGATTTCTGGATAAACTGAGAGGTAGGATAAGGTTTTTTGCTACTTGATTAAAATAACTATCACAATAATATAAACTCCATAGAATGTCTCATGCAGAGCAAAAGTGGGCTCTACTGTAGCAAACATAGCTAATTTTAAGGGTTCTATTAACAAGCTTCTCTCCTGCCATTACAAAGTTTCCTGTTACTGTGACATACCTTCCCACACGTCTGTGGACACTAGACATGTTCAGCATCCATACTTTTCCTTTGTGTACAACTGATGCCATTTGTTTTGGAAAATGGCATTTATAACTTTTTGGAAAACACCTTTTGGAGATCATAACTTTTTAGAAAAGCATGACCTTTCAGAGAAGAGCCAAAAACCCCTTAAAGTAGAATCTTCTCTTGTAGTATAAAACCAGATATAATTATGAAAGGAATAGTTTCAGTTGTTAGACTGAATAACCTGTTATCGCTAATCTGTTAGGAAAACAGAGATTTGCCAGTGCATAAAAACAGCAGAGCTTTAGAAGTGTTTTTATTTCAGTGTCCCAAAAAAAGTTACTCTCCCATGAAACAACTTGTGTCACATTATGCACTCATGAGACAAAATTGAAGGAGACTTTGATAAAATTAACATATTTGGTTTACTCACAACCTTCATGTGTTCAGCATACACAGGTGAAAAACTTATCAGTCCAATTTCAAATATGTTTGAGATAATTATTTGTGCCATTCAGCTATTAACAGGTCATATAGTCAAAATGAGAAAAAGAGCATGTGGTCTACATCTCCTTTTATAACTTCTCAGAAACTGTAGAGTAAAGGAAGCTGCACCCCAGAACATACATACAGGAAACGGTAAGCAACAAGATCACAGACAAACAGATTGCTAGAGAAGACTTGATGAAGTTTGTAATTTCCAACAATTTGCGCTACTTAAGCATTACCGTTCACCACCAAAACTAAGGAAATAGAGGAAAAGATAATTCCAGCTCTCCAGAAAGTGGCTTACATGTTTTCCATAGTATATCATCTTTACTTTGTTCGCTACACTGAATGAAGTCGATAGGAATGTTGGACATTACACCATTGGTTCAGCTATCTCACCACTGTTGATTCTGGCCCAGATCAAATGATAAAATAAGTGAATGATGCTTCAAAGCTACAAGCAATGTTTTAACACATATTGCCCAGTTGCTTCTGCTGCAAAGCTTACTTCATGGTTTGTTTAATGCTTAAACCAGTGGTTCTCAGCCTGTGGGTTCCCAGATGTTTTGGCCTTCAACTGCTAGAAATCCTAACAGCTGATAAACTGACTGGGATTTCTGGGAGTTGTAGGCCAAAACACCTGGGGACCCACAGGTTGAGAACCACTGGCTTAAACAATTCACGTAGAGTGTGTCAAAGTAGTCTATACGAGATGTAACAAGAGTGTGGACAACCATGGCAAAGTCTGACTTTTCAAGGTATGGGCACAACTACTTACCAAGTTTTATTTTTGTGAATGCTCCCCTGGCCACAGCTGAAACTGGGGTTCTAGGCTCAGAGATGAATCCAGGAGAACCCCCAAGCTGCAAACCTGTGTCTTCAGGGGGACTGTAACCCTGTCCAACATGGGCTTTAACCCTATACCCTGTTTGGCTTTACGGCTGACCAGGAGTTTGCTCCTTCAAGCAAGCCAACTGCAAATAGAAGCCTTCAATCCTCATAATCCGTTTGCAGATGATACACAAAGGCTATAATCCTAAACATGCTTACCTGAAAGTAAATCCACTGAACTCAATGACGCTTACATCAGAGTAAACATACATAAGACCGCACTGTAAGACTACTGCCTATACAAATGTATCTGTATTCAGTGTATCTGTATACTGAACACAGCCAAGCTTAATTCTGAGCAAGCAGATAGGATTGTGCTGATAGGCTTCACTCTGTGTGTGTATGCCTTAAAATGCCTGTCAGCTGACTGTGATCCCATGGATTCCATAGGATTTTCTTAGGCAAGAAACTGGTTTTGCCCGTTCATTCCTCTGAAATATAGCCCACAGCTATAGATATGATTGGTGGTCTCCCATCTAAGTACTACCCAAGGCTGATCCTTCTTAGCTTCAAGATAAGATGGGATCGACTGCCTTTAGGGTATTTAGCTCCATTATACAAACCTACCTAAGAGTAAATCCTGTTAAACCCAGTCGGAATTATTTCTTAGTAGATAAGCACAGACTTTCATTGCCGCAGAGACCACAAAGAAGAACCAACTTCTGTTGTCCAAAATGTCAATGCTTATATCTAACTTTTCACAAAGCACGGCGTGGCAAATCACAAAGTGACACAGTTTTAATTGCAGGACCAGAATAACGGGTAAAAACCCCAGAATCATAGGAAAGGCAGCTCCGAGTATAGATCATACTAACCATGACCTCGATTACTTTTAGGTCACTAGTGTCACATAAACTTTTGTGGCCTGCTTTAACGCCACACATGTGTTATTTTAAGTAAACATGTTAAATTATATTTATTACACCAGCCTCCTTTTACACCCATCGACGGTCTGATATTAGCCCAGTATAATTATTTTTACAACTCATGTGGTTTTTAACAGCAGTGTACAATACTTGTAAAGGGTATAAAACACAAGGCATAATAGGTTTGAGGAATTAAAAGAAGCAAAGGAGCTTAAAGGACTCCAAACGCCTACTCTCAACAACAGCAAAAACTCATGCAAGGATTTTACCACTTCATCACACTAGAGAGTGAGTCCACTTTAAATCCGGTTTCTGCCTCCTGTAGAATTCTGGTATTTGTAGTTTAGTGAGGCTGTTAAAGGCTCCTCCCTAAACTACAAACCCCAGAATTCTGCAGGAGGCAGAAACCAGATTTAAAGTGGACTCATTCTCTAGTGTGATGAGATCCTAAGGATTGTTTTCATCTCCACATCACTCTATTTGATTTTTTTTCTTATCAATGCCAAGAGCATCTAAGGCCCTGAGCTATGCTGCCATAGATTATAGTTCAAAGCTGCATTATATGGTCAGTGTAGACCAGACATGGGCAAACTTTGGCCCTTCCGGTGTTTTTGGACTTCAACTCCCACAATTCCTAACAGCCTGCTCATGCCTGGTGTAGGCTCATATGGTCAGTGTAGGTTCGTATAATGCAGTTCAAGGCACTAATATGGTCCACACTGACCATATGAGTGTACACTACGCATGGGCAACCTTTGGCCTTCTGGTGTTCTGGACTTCAACTCCCACAATTCCTAACAGCCTGCCCATGCCTGGTGTACATTCATATGGTCAGTGTAGGTTCATATAATGCAGTTCAAATATGTTCTACACTGACCGTATGAGTATACACCAGGCATGGACAAACTTTGGTCCTCCAGGTGTTTTGGACTTCAACTCCCACAATTCGTAACAGCTTGCCCATGCCTGGTGTAGACTCATATGGTTAGTATAGGTTCATATAATGCAGTTCAAGGCACTTATATGGTCTACACTGACTATAAGAGTGTACACTAGGCATGGGTACACTTTGGCCCTTTGGGTGTTTTGGACTTCAACTCCCACAATTCCTAACAGCCTGCCCATGCCTGGTGTAAACATATGGTAAGTGTAGGTTCGTATAATACAGTTCAAGGCACTTAGATGGTCTACACCGATCATATGAGTCGACACCAGGCATGGGCAAACTTTGTCCCTCTAGGTGTTTTGGACTTCAACCTCCACAATTCCTAACACCCTGTCCATTCCTGGTGTACATTCATATGGTCAGTGTATGTTCATATAATGCAGTTCAAGGCACTTATATGGTCTACACTAACCATATCAGTCTACACCAGGTGTGGGCAACCCTCCAGGTGTTTCAGGACTTCAACTCCCACAATTCCTAACAGCCTGTCCATGCTGGTGCAGACTCATATGGTCAGTGTAGGTTCATATAATGCAGTTCAAGGCACTTACGTGGTATACAGTGACTATATGACTGTACACCAGGCATGGGTAAACTTTGGCCCTCCAGGTGTTTTGGACTTCAACTCCCACAATTCCTAAGAGCTTGCCCATGCCCGGTGTACATTCATATGGTCAGTGTAGGTTCATATAATGCAGTTCAATGCACTTATATGGTCTATATTAACCATATCTGTGTACACCAGGTGTGGGCAAACTTTGGCCTTCCAGGTGTTTTGGACTTCAGCTACCACAATCCCTAACAGCCTGCCCATGCCTGGTGTACACTCATATGGTCAGTGTAGGTTCATATAACGCAATTCAAGGTACTTATATGATCTACTGTGATCACTTTCAAACTGCAATTTGCGACAGTGCAGAAGGGGCCTATATTGACGGGAAAGGGCTGTCAGGTCTCTGGATCTGTCAAGGTGAGGTGGGAGAGCAGCTGTGGTAGTCATTCACTTTTCTGTTTGGAGCAGGAGGCCCACTCACTAGCAAAGGCTGTAACCCAATGCAATGCAACCTATGCACTTCGCCAGCTCACTCCACTTCTTCCCTGTGCCTTACCCATGGCCACGCTGTCTGCAAAGACTCGCCTCTGCCTGTACAGCATGCTGACGGAGACTCGGAGCATTAGAACCGCTGCCATGCTGCTTCCCCGCCTCCGGTGCGCGACCTCCACTTTAAGCACCGCCTCCTGCGTTGCTTCCTAAGCAGAGCCCGGGCAGAGGCGGGGCTAAGAAGCTGAGTGGCAGCCTCCTCGGCCAATCCGCGCTTCCGGAGCAAGCGCGGCGCCAATCAGAGGGGACGCTTCCTAGTCGGTGACCTGCTGCAGCTATACTCCCACGCTCAACCCATGACAGGCAAGGCAGAGCAGCCCTTTTTTGAGTGATGTGGAATAATTTATTACAATTAGGGAGATAACCAAAACAACTGTAGTGGAGGGGCGGAGGGAATCAGAGCTTAGGTGTAATTGTTGCTGCTCCTTTATACTCTTAATTAAGAGAGGTCTGATTTAGGGTGCATCTGCACTGTCGAATTAATGCAGTTTGACAACGCTTTTAACTTCCACTGCTCAATGCTACAACCTTACTACTTCATCGCACTAGAGAATGAATCCACTTTAAATCCAGTTGCTGCCTCCTGCAGAATTCTGGGGTTTGTAGTGTAGGGAGGAGCCTTTAACAGCCCCACTACAAAGCCCAGAAGGAGGCTTTAAAGTGGATTCATTCTCTAATGTGGTGAGGGGGTATCATTATGCTGGCTGAAAGCAAGGAGGAGCTGAGGAACCTTCTATCCAAGGTGAAAGAAGAAAGTGCAAAAGCTGGGTTGCAGTTAAACATCAAAAAGCCAAGATTATGGTAACCAGACTGATGGATAACTGGCAAATAGAGGGAGAAAATGTGCAGGCAGCGACAGACTTTGTATTTCTTTGTTGTTGTTCATTCGTTCAGTCGTCTCCGACTCTTCGTGACCTCATGGACCAGCCCACGCCAGAGCTCCCTGTCGGCTGTCACCACCCCCAGCTCCTTCAAGGTCAAGCCAGTCACTTCAAGGATGCCATCCATCCATCTTGCCCTTGGTCGGCCCCTCTTCCTTTTGCCTTCCACTTTCCCCAGCATAATTGTCTTCTCTAGGCTTTGCTGTCTCCTCATGATGTGGCCAAAGTACTTCAACTTGTCTCTAGTATCCTTCCCTCCAATGAGCAGTCGGGCTTTATTTCCTGGAGGATGGACTGGTTGGATCTTCTCGCAGTCCAAGGCACTCTCAGAACTTTCCTCCAACACCACAGCTCAAAAGCATCTATCTTCCTTCGCTCAGCCTTCCCTAAGGTCCAGCTCTCATATCCGTAGGTTACTACAGGGAATACCATGGCTTTGACTAGGCGGATCTTTGTTGCCAGTCTGATGTCTCTGCTCTTTACTATTTTATTGAGATTGGACATTGCTCTCCTCCCAAGAAGTAAGCGTCTTTTGATTTCCTGGCCACATTTCTAGGTGCGAAAATTACTGCAGACACAGACTGCAGTCAGGAAATCAGAAGACATTTACTCCTTGGGAGGAGAGCAATGACCCATCTCGATAAAATAGTGAAGAGAAGAGACATCACACTGGCAACAAAGATCCACATAGTTAAAGCAATGGTATCCGGCGTAATCACCTATGGATGTGAGAGCTGGACCATAAGGAAGGGTGAGTGAAGGAAGAGAGACGCTTTTGAACTGTGGTGTTGGAGGAAAATTCTAAAAGTGCCTTGGACCGCAAGGAGATCTAGCCAGTCTATACTTCAGGAAATAAAGCTCGACTGCTCATTGGAGGGAAGGACATTAGGAGCAAAGATGAGTCACCTTCGGGCTGATATGGGCGGGATAGAAATAATGTAAGTAAGTAAATAAATACTTTTGCCACATATGAGAAGACAGGAAAGCTTGGAGAAGATAATGATGCTGGGGAAAATGGAAGGAAACAGGAAGAGGGGCCGACCAAAGACAAGATGAATGGATGGTATCCTTGAAGTGACTGGCTTGACCTTGAAAGAGCTGGGGATGGTGACGGCCAACAGGGAGCTCTGGCACAACCTGGTCCATGATGTCATGAAGAGTCGGAAGTGACTGAACGAATAAACAATAAAAGCTCAATGCTATAGGATCTTGGGAGTTGTAGTTTCACCAAGGTCTTTAGCCTTCCCTGCCAAACTCCAAATCACAGGATTCCATGGCCGTGGGAGCCATGGTGAACGTTTCTACAAACCAACTTCCATGCCCAATGTTTTATAAAAGGCCTTCTTTCTGTAGATGTAATGTACTCCTGCTAGTAATACTTGGACAGCAGTCTCATTTAACAACCAGAATATCAGTGAGATTCACACTTCTCCATTATTCCTGCAACTTTCAACACAAGCAGCCTGTATTTTTAAAGGGTGGCTATATGACCACAGGTGCTTGATTCCAGATCAGTTAGAATTAAAACTTCGGAACAAGCCCTATTGAATTTTATAAAGTTTTGAGGAGAGCTTTGGAAAACATGCTTTTGGATTGCAATTCACAGAATCTTGGCATAGCCTAAAAGTTTCGAAGTTTGCTTCAAAGTACGGATGGTTTGTTTTCTCTGTTGGATCTGTGCATTTTTGTGTCGCCCTCCAGCATGGACTGAATATGCCACAGCCATCCTTTATTGTGTAGTCAATTCATTTACTTTACTAATAAACCAATCACCCTTAAAGCAGCTTTATATAAAAAAGAATTTCATACTTAGTGTGTTGCTAACTTTGCCATTTTTCTTCATGTTTAAATTTTATTTCTAGACATTCAACTGAAGTTGTTACCCCAACGCTAAAAATGTGGGGCTGTTCTAAAATTTAATTGGTGGATATAAAACTCTTAAGGGGGGGGGAGCTCCCATCCTCTCCCCCCAATGAGCCCCTTGATATGGATATACATATTGTAAACTCATGTATATGTGTGTGTGTGTGTGTGTGTGTGTATGTATATATACATACACACACATATACACTGGCAGATTTCCTCAAGATAGTTCATGATATCAAAAGGATGAGATCGGCATTTGGTATACAGAAGGGGAACATGTTTTTGTTGAAAAGCAGCTCCATCCATCATCAGCTATGCTGGTAATGCCTGATGGGACTTCCAGTTCAACAACATCTGGATGGTCATACAATGCCTTATCCCTGCTATGGTGGCTGTTCATACATACGATGCCAGTTTTGCAGGTCTGATCCATCTCAGCACCCTCCCCAAGTCAAAGTGTAGAAGGCACATGGGCCAGCCTTAACCAAAACTGAAAAATCACATAAAAACCCGCAAAATCCCAGCTATAATTTAATTTAATAATTTATTTCTGTATTTATTCCACTGCCCAAGGTGTCTAAGGACAATAAAGTACACATAAAATTTTAATCTCAATTAAACATACAAACCAGTGAATATGAAGCAAATATGAAGTGAATAAGAAACAAAATCAAGCAAATAACACCAACCAGCTAAACACCCATTAGAGTCACCAAACCAGTTCCAGTGCCAAATATCTACCAGTATGTATTTAACTATTGTCAAGATAAGAATAAATAGTAAATGAACTCAGCATACCTTGGCAAGAAATGTCAGAACTTGACTACAGCCTTTAAAAAGGCCCTCCCTTACAGCAGGCAAATTTGAGATGGTAAAATCAAGACAACTACCTCTCCCAGGAATCTTTAAGTCCATGCAAGTTCATATAGTCATTTAGATAGCCTAAATGGCTATATGTTCAAATCATATGGTGCGTTATACTTCATAGTCAGCGCTCGAGTGGTGCTTAGAAGAGAGCAGTAGTCAATGAAGCTGTTTGCCAAGGTAGTCAAATGACAAGATGATGTTTCAAAAATCTTTCCAAAGTCACCTCCATGTAGTGGGGGAAAGTGAAGGAGGTGAGGAAAAAAATGGGACATTTTAAAAGCATCTGGAAATGTGGACAACAGAGGATTAAACAGGACCATCTCTACAAGATTGGGATGGTTGGAGTCCATTAACCTTCAATTGGTTCCATTCATGCATAGCTCATCACTGATATCAGACACTGATTCAGAAGTAGAAAACTTTAATTGGAATGAAATAGAAAGTAAAGAAAGAATGAAAGAAACTCTTTGCAGTCCCTCCTGCCGGCTTCATGCAGATATTAAAGGATATGCACAATTGCACAAGGAGTGAAGTCCATTTTTGCTACTGCACTGGTTTGCAATGTAAAAATAAAGGTATAACAATTTTTGACATCACTTCTGCTTTTTTGGTAACCTTTGTTTTCGTTTGATTTTCAGTCTTTTTCTTTCGTTTTTAAAAGTTTCCTGGTTGGGAGTGCCAAATTAAATTCAATTGCTATAATTTTGTATAGTTTCTGATGTGGTTTGGGTGATTTTCCAGGACTGCAAAAAAGGGCCTGGAGGGCACCACGTGGCCAGCATTTTATCCACCCTGTAGTAAATAACAAAATAACAATTTGGATAGTGTTCCATTATCTGGGTGGAGGCCAAAAGGAGGCACTAGAGAGAATAGGATAGTCCATTTTATTATAGGGGAGGAGGAGTTGAAAGAGGAAAACCATTTCCCCTATTTTTTCTGATTATTTCTCCTCCTTGCTTCGCATTTCCTAAACAAATGTTATTTCTACCGTGGCGACATGGATGGAGGGAATAGCAGGAGATCAGGGGGAAATGGTTGTACTCCTTCCAACCCCCTCCCCCCCATGAAACGGACTATCCTTCTTTATTTAGCACCTCCTTTTAAACTCCGCCCTGATAATGGGATATTACCACAATATATTTATATGTCAGATCTTTTACTTGAGATAACTGCTTCATTCTGTCTGCATAAAGATAAAGAAGCGCTAGTTTTAATTTTCAAAATTTCACAATACAGTTGGCCTTCCTCATTTGCAGTTTTGACTTCTGTGGATTTAGTTATTCAAAGATTTGAGCAATACTTTCTAGGAATGTCTAGGTCCTCCAGTGCAACCCTATGATCAACTTCTATCAGAATTTGATCATAGAGTCATGCTAGAAGTCTTCTCTAAAGTTTAAAAAAATAGTGGGGGTTTTTTAAATTGCAATTTTCCCATGCCCCTAACTGCAGCAAATGTGGGGGATATATTGTACAAACGTTTGGAAAAAAATGTTGTAGTTTGTACAAACATCCTTGTGCATTTTGTACTTG